TTAAAAATAAATAACATTTCTTTTCAGATTAACTTTAAATCAGTTTATATTCCTCAAATAAAGTTTGAAAAAGTATATTTTATTTTTGAAAGATTTTATAATAAAGAAAATTGTTTATTGATAGATTTGTCAATATGGATGATTTTAGCAATTTTACTGATAATCAGAAAAAATCATTGCAATCAATTTAAATTCAATTTGAAATACAGCAAAGTATTTTGCTTATTCTAATTAGCTTGAAATTAAAATTAAAATAAAATAAGCTTCAAGAAAAAGATTTTTAAAATGCATTTTAAACTTAGGTATCGCTTTTTTGTGGTGTGCAGTATCTACATTTAAGCTACAAAAATACTTTAAAAAAAGTACTGAGAAAGTAGGCAGGAAAAACAGATCACATTGAATTTGAAAGTATACTGTGTATTGAAATTATTAAAGAAAGATATTTTTCTCTAAGTAAAAAAAAAACAGCAGTCCCAAACAATGAACATAAAGGTATTAAATACAATTCGTAGCTTCTTGCAAACGTTGCAAGCTCTCAAATGCCGCAAACAACAAAAAGGAAAAAAAATATTCTTTTTTAATCTAGTTTTTTCTCCTATCCGCCATATTTAAAAATGCCGCTATTCCATTAAAAAAAAAAAATTCTTTTTACGGGGGATGTAACCTTTTAAAATAATGTGTGAAGTTATTTCCCCTGCAGACTAATTTCTTCTATATTTTTTTATTATTATTATTGAGATAGCGAGAGAACACATTTTTATTTTAACAGAAATACATTTAGTATTAGTAGTGGTTTGTAATGACTGGAAAAAACACCAAAACATTGAACTGTTGCACAAACTATAAACAGTAGAAGTAAAATATCACAGACAATGATTTAGGTACAGGACTTTGTAATGCAGCAAGAGAAAGTAGTGAAAAAAGATTTTTATACTTGTCCTATACCAAATTTCAGAGGTAAAAACACTAAGGAGGAAGAGAGGGCATTTCTCTTGAAAAACCGCTAATGAGCAAGGTAGCTACAACTCACCAGAGATATAGCAGGAAGAAGGTAAGAGATCTGTGTAAAAGTTTAAGTACTCTTGTTGGGGAAAGTTTTTTTGAATAAAAAAAAAAAAAAGAGAGAAAATATTGTCAAATGTCGAAATTTATTTAAACGTAAAATTCACAAATTTTAACTGAAATTACTTATGAAATGAAAGTTAGAAAGTTCTTCCCTTTGACCGTAAAAGGAAATGAAAATGAATAGTCTTTCAGTGAGGAAGAGAGAAAATGGAGTTGGGAGACAAGATCAAAGGGATCCTTCTTTGGTGAAAAAGACAGGATAAAAAGGTTGATTTGTGTCTCTTTACTGTTAGTTATTTGGTATTTACCAATGACTCTCCACTGAGTCAGGATGCAACACAAGGGCAGTTATTTAACATAGAGAACCCAAGTGCATGCATTCAACCCATTGGTCAAACCTCAAAATTTACTCATGGGTTTGAAATGGGTTCTCCTTGGTTCATGGCTTTTTATCATGGTTGTGAAAGCTTTCTTAATGGTTAAAATTTTGGTCTTCTTGTTATCCATTTTTATCTATTTATTTCTCTATCACCACAATTCTTCTTCCTTCTTCAAATTTCACAAACTTAAGCTGACAAGGAACTATAGCTGATATCAATCATATATTGTAATTTTACACTCTTTAAAATAATTCACATGAAAATAAATGAACAGGACAAGATGAATTTTCAGGATAACATCAATATTGTTTGAGGACATAAAATTAACTTATTCTATATGAAACAAAATATATGGAAATTAAGTTGAGTAATTGCTGATGTTATTGCTTGGTTTATCAAATATATTGGATGACCTTATTAGTACCTGTCATAGGTACAGATATTTACCCAAATGTTAAAAACAAAAAGATAAACAATAAATAAAGAATGATTAGGTAGAAATAAGAACATGTATGAAGTATTTATTTTATACATAGTCTCTCCTTATTCACAAATCCAATATGTTATGTTGTAAAAATTTGTGGTTTTCCTATATGTTTAGGAAATATCTCCTCTTCATGGCATCTACCCAAAACATTTCTCTTTGCTGTTCAGACTGTAGACTCGTCCTTTTTTCCTTACCTTTCAACCCTAGCAACAGAACAATCTATATCTTATGCCTACATACGGAAAACTTCAACCAATTAAAACTGCACTAAGCGAAACAAACAATCTCATTGGTTCATCACTGAAAGTTCACATGCAGAACGAAATTGCGCCAAAACTCAAGTGAGCCACCTTCGGACTTTCAGGCCTTATAAAAATAAACGCTGACCGCCCCAGGCAGTCAGTAACAAACACCCACAGAGAACTTGCCAAAATACTCCACGTCACTCTAAATCACGATTTTTCCGTGCAAAGATACATCATCGCTGACTCATTCCCGATCGAAACTTAATGAACTCTGTGGATATCAATTCTCAACATTGCTTATCTAAAGTGAATTATATTCGCTACCTATTAAGTAAACATCAATGTGCGAACGACCTTAAAAAAACATTACATTACAGTTAAAGGTAGATCACTCTTAAAAACTCCTTCTAAAAGAGACACTTAATATTGACAATTATTAATATCAACACAAACTTAAAAAGACTGTAAATGAATGAACAATTACAAAGAGAGACATTCTGAGATCAAAAAAACCTCATACACATTTCACCAACATAACATATATCAATTATCCTGTTTGTATATTGTTTTGAATTGTATATAAATGTTGTATTAATTTCTAATTGAATATGTCCCATTCTTAATCATATTTTAAATTTCGTTTATTTATTTGTTGTGGATACAGAAAGTCACGCAACCTACACAAATTCCTTCTGATTCTTTCAAGCATAATTAATGAATTCTGCATGTCCCCAACAAGACTAAGGCTTCACTAATTGGCCATTAAAGATCACATGACCAGCCAAGTGTGGTACATACTGATTAAGGAAGAGAGAAAAGTTAACCTAACATGCTAACGGGATTCATTTTGAAATCTTAATGCTACTAAATTTTGAATTCTGATACATTATTTTGGGGTACTAGTTTTGAAAAACTTTTTGGCCCTCAGTGAACTTCATTCTGCATTGTATACAACACAGATTTGTACACAGCATATAAATGCTCTAAACTTACATGACTTCTCACAAGAACGTCTAATAATTCTACCAAAATAATAGACAAAGAAATCTTTCATAATCTTTCATAGAAACTTCATATATATATATATATGTACATACAAAAAAAACGGATATATCTACATATATATCTTCATTTACCGTTTTTTGTATTTCTTTCTATTTAATTTGCTCAGGTAATAAAGTATGTTGGTATTTGTATGTAATTGTTTGTATAATCATTCTCTTGGTTGAATAACTTCAATGTGCCCACTAAATTATCAACTAAAATTCTTCAATAGACCAATCTGGAGATTCAAAAATTGAATAAAATTAATTTAAAAAGCTTTGGATTAATTTTGTGTCTGAAAAACTAGGAAAGGTTAGAATTTAGGAAGTGATAAATGCAAAGAATAATAAAATCTTTATATAAAATCTTTCTGAAAAACTCCTTTCAGAAAAGTGATAGATATTTTTTGTCTGAATTATTGGTATATGTCATTATTTACACTCAGACTCATCATTTTTGGTATCATCATTGCAATAATTTCTCCAGCTTTAATCAGGTGCTTGTAAGTCTGAGTAACCATTTAAAATTAATAGACAGGAGTAAATTATTCTCGCTTCACTATGTCATGTCTAGTTCTTATTTAATACCGTTCACTTATTGCTTACCCTGGTTCACCCCATACTATCCAGCCTAAGGATTGAACACACAATTACTATTTTACCAAATCCACAAGCCAATGCTTTAATCCACTAGGCTATTTACCTGTAGGACATTCCCGAGTCTAGAACTTGAAACCTTAAGCTTAATTTGCCTACTACTGAGACTCCAGCTGCTGTTTGTCATGCTTGACTGCATTCACCAGAATGGATTCACGGCATCTATATATCACAAGCCAACCATCACCAGACAGTACGTTGACCTAAAATTCCCACCATCAGTACAGCATTTAAGAAAGGGATTGTCCAGTGCTTATAACACCACACAAAAATCATAAGTGACGATTTAGACACATGTCAACAGATGTTCAGCATCAAACATAACCTTCATTATAAAAACTGCAATAAACCTTGCAAACATAATATCAGATTCTGTAGGTTGAAAGGGAATAGTCAAGGAGAGGACAGAAAAATTACCATGGTCTGACCTTATTAAGAGTTTATTGGAAATATTCAGAAGATATGTGCTCCATACAACATTAGGACAAGATTCAGAAGCAGCTCAACCCTATATAGAAATCTTTGTTGAGTCAAACCTAACACAGAGGAGAACATGAGCAAGAACTGTGTGTATTCCATCACTTGCAGTCTGGCAAAGAATATAAAGGTGAAAGTAGATACCCCTAAAAGTGAGATAGGAGAAAAACCATAATTAGAGGCAAGACAATGAAATCAGGCATGACTGATAATGTATGGAGGGAAAAGAGTAATAACTAAATCCTGTGGAATGAAACAAAAATACTAGACAAAGAAGAATACTGGAGAGTGAAATGTCTGAAAGCTATGAGGACCCCCTTAGTAGGCCTAGCATAGAAATAAATACAATATGGGATCCGTTAAGGAATAAAGAAAGAGAAATGACAGTAAGTCTTCAACAGCAGCAGCAGCAATAAGAAAAATATTTTGGTGAATGCAGTCAAGCATGACAAGCTGCAGAAGTCTCAGGAGCAGGCAGATTAGATTTAAGGCTTCATCTTCTACACTCAGGATTATCACACGAGACAATAGCCCGGTGGATTAAAACAGTGATTTGTTAATTTTGTGACGTAGTGCTGATTAATGCAGACTCATTTGAAATAATGTGAGCAATAACTGAACGGTACTAAATAAGAACTATATCTTATGATCACATCACATTGAAACATTGGTTCCGATACAATCACCAAAGTTAAGCAATGTTGAGCCTGGTCAGTACCTAGATGAGTGACCACTTGGGAATACTAGGTGCTGTAAGCTCGAATGTGTGGGTGGTGTAATGGATAATGGCTCAGAATTGTTAATCAGTGAGCAGAGTTCCAATTCCCGTTGGTTTCTTTTTTATTCACTTATGTAAAAATACCCTTGGGAAAGGTATGAATCCACCTCTTCCCCCAGCTATGGGTTAATTAGTAAGATGTGTATCATTAAAACCATTATTATCTCAAAACAAAACTGCATACAAAATATTTAGATTTCAGCATTAAATAACCCATAGAGGTTGCTATGCCGCTAAACAAAAAAAAAAAAAAAAATAATAAATAAAAACTAGACAAGAAAATTGTCAATCACCTCAACAGAAACAACCTCCTTGTGAAAACAATATAGATTTCCCTCCTCCAGGTCCATTGATGATGAGTTAACTGTCATTATACAGTCAGTGAAGTGCTTGATAATAAATTTATTATGAGAGTGATTGTCTTAGATATCTCAAAGACCCTTGATGTGTGGAATAGGAGGTTGCTATACAAACTCTCCAACTATAGGATCTCTGGAAGAATCTTGTCAATTATCAAATCCTTCTTATCATGGTAAGTTCATGAATGTTGTTCATAATGGCCAGTCCTTTGAAGCTCATGAAATCAATGAAGACATCCTCCAAGGCTTTCTCATTGGTCCTACCCTGTTTTTGCTTTATATTAATGACTAGCAGTAGAGCCAGGCATTGCCCGGGGATATAACAGTAAGAGATAGATCAAGTATCGACCATCATAAAGACTGAAAAATAAAATTGACAAAGATTATTGTTTAAGGTTGATGGACACACATGTCTTAATTAGTTTTTTTTTTTTTGTTTTGTTTTTTTTCTCTTACGAATTGGTCAAACCCAAACTCAAACAAAAACATTGTTTTCAATCGTTATGAGTCTACCAATTGAATAGAATTTTGTTATAAACAATTGTCTTGTAAATGGAATTTTTAAATCATTCTGAATGTAAAAATAAAGAAAAAAGTGTGCAAGACAATAAGAAACACTACCTGCCAAAAGAAAAGTTAAGTTTTTTTTAAATCAGTTGAAAAATGTAGGAAATCCAATCCCATATATAAATGAACACACACACACACACACACACAAACAACCTGGGTTTTATTTTATAATAAGTATAACTCTATATGAGTTGTCCCTCTTTAATTCTTGCAACAGCGATGCCACTTAATCGTGTTTTCAAATTGATTTTGTGCAAAAACAATTGTTTTTCCAATTTTTGGCACTGTCAGAACCACCACAAGGTATTTTTACATAGTCCTGTGAAGTTTTGTTGAAATCGGTTGAAAAATATAGGAAATCCGATCCAATATATAAACGAACAGACACACACACACACACACACACACACACAACCTGGGTTTGTATGATCTACCTAAGAACATTGGCAGATCATTAGCAGATATATATGAAGATGATTTTGCAGTTATAACCAGAGCCTGGCAACTGATCTATCCATTTGCCTCACTCTCACAGCTCAATGGGGGTAGTGTGGAATAATCCACATTATCCTTTCACCCCTTTCAGAACAATCCATTTTACACCAATGTACCTTCCATCCAATCAGAACTCCAATTTTAGCAAGCTCAGTTTCTCATTGGTCAAAAGCCTAAAAAACTGTAATATTCACGTGAAAAATCTTTTTGGTGCTCGATCGCCTCTGAGCCTAAATTTCCTCTCTCAAATCTATAAATAAAGAATTTCTAACCATTTCAGTCAGTCAAACCTCCACACCTAGAGAGATGCCCATCAATTCCATGCCAGTCAAAACTCTGACTTTGCCGCACAAAATATTTTCTGACTCAGCAACCTTCGGGCACACTATCTCTCTCTAGAACATTTCTCAAACTTCACTTACTATACTTTCAAAGTGATATGCAAATTAGTATAATTTGCATATGAGCAGGTAGCTCATATGATAAATGGACACAAACTAGAACAGAGGTCAAATGCTTACTTAGCAATATACACGACATAACAATGGCGTCGCCGATAGGATACTCTTTGGTCCTTGAAGACCCAGAGTACGTAGATACGTGGATTCGTTGCTTTGATGCTAATGCAAGATGTAAAAAGTTGAAAGACAACAAAAACAGAGGAGGGGAAAATGAAATCACCGACTTGTTTATGGCTACTGCTGGTTGTGAAGCGATTATGAAGGTTGCTACAATGGTTTACCCTCGAGAACTAGAAGAAATGACTTTTGAAGAAATAAGTCAGGTTATTAAGGGAAACATGAGGCCAAAGAAAAGACTGGTGATTGCAGAAAGGACCAAGTTTATGGCAATGAAGCAGGAAGTGGATGAACCGATAGTAAAATATTTACACCGGTTAAGAAGTGCGAGTAAATACTGTGAATTCAAAAAACTAGGAACAGGAGAGCAGACAACGAAAGACGAATTAATCCAACTAAGATTAATTGAAGGTATACATAATTCAGCACATAGATATAAGTTAATGGAACAGTTACAACTTACAAACATGCCTTTGAATATGTGTATAGAATTTATACAACAGCAGGAATTAATACATACCTACAACCAAAATAAAAATAAATCCGAAGAAATAATGGCTGAAACATATACAGTACAAACAAAAAGAAAAAATTGTACATACTGTGGAAAAATTCATGAAATGTAAAAAGAAAAATGCCCAGCCTTTGGAAAGACGTGTTCAAAGTGTTTAAAAAAAAATCACTTCAAAGAAGTATGTAAAACGAAAAATGTGGAAAGAGTAGAGGATGAAAATAGACAGATTTTTAAATGTAAAAAAGGATAATATACAAAATACTGGATCTAAGAACGGAGATACAAAAATAAAAGTGAAAATCAACGACTGTATTGTCGAAATGCAAATCGACACAGGTAGTGAGGTCACGATATTACCCAGAAATTTGTGGGAAAAAATGGGAAAACCGTTTTTAAAAAAAAAACAACGTACAATTACGTCAGTTTCATGGCTCGATTATAGCAATTATGGGTTACTTTGAAGGTTCAATAGAACTAAAAAGAAAATATGAAATAGTACCCATTATAGTTACAAATTGCCGAAAAACGCATGGACTACTGGGGAATGACATGTTAAAAATAAATTCAACGAAGTTGATTAATGAGATAGAAATAGAAAAAACAGGAAAATTAAAAAATTATGAAGCTAGCCTGAAATTAAAAGAAAATGTTTCCCCTCCTACTACTAAGCGAGAAAAAATACCAGTGCATTTATTACCGTTGGTAATAGCTAAATTGCGAAAGCTAATAAAGGAAGACTTATTAGAACCTGCCCTCCAGGAGGAAGTAAATGGGCATCACCCATTGTGGTATTGAAAAAAAAAGATGGTGACCTGAGAATTTGTGGAGATTATAAAATAGGGGTGAACCATAAAGTTTGTGCTGACTCGTACCCTATTTCGAATGTGGAAGTAGCTTTACATAAACTTGCTGGAATTAAAGTATTTTCGAAGATAGACCTAAAATCAGCTTACCACCAAATACCGATAAATGAAAAGTTTAAAGAAGTGACGACCATAAACACACCTATAGGCCTGTTAAGGTGGAAAAGAATGCCGTATGGCATAAAAACAGCAAGTGCAATTTTTCAAAAAGCTATTGAAAAAGTAATAGGAAATGTTGAAAATACCATCTGTTATCAAGACGATATATGTATTGGAGATTTAAATGAAGATGATTTAAAGAAAAACTGAAAATATACTGAACCGCTAAGAGACGCTGGTATGGCAATAAATACAAAAAGTGTGTAACCAACAGTAATGAAATATCATTCTTGGGTTACTCAATATCAAAGGAAGGGATCTCTCCAGATAAAGTATTAATAGAGAAAATTCTAAAAGTTGCTACACCGAAAATAAAAAAAAAAAAAAAAAAGAGTTGGAGTCCTTCTTAGGTTTGGTAAATTTTTATAGAAAATATGTACCAAAATATAATGAGTTGACAGAACCATTTGCTAAGTTAAAAAAAAAAAATGTGGAATTCATTTGGTTAGAACACCAACAGAAAGCCTTTGAAAACTTAAAACAGATTCTGGCAAAAAAGCCAATAGTACAAATTTTTGACCCTAAGAAGGACATAACTAACTACTGACGCTAGTGAGCAGTCCATATCTGGTATTTTTTCACAAGATGGGCATCCCATAATGTACTTATCAAGGAGATTAACAACAACTGAACACAATTATTCGAATATAGAAAGGGAGGCACTAGCCATAGTGTGGACAACGGATAGAGCAAGACAGTTTTTGATGGGAAAAAAATTCTTGTTGAAAAGTGATCACAGACCACTGGAATTTATTTTCAAGCCAAGAAAAGACCTACCGAAAGTTACGACATCCAGAATATTACGTTGGGCGATTAGACTGATGGTGTTCGACTTTGACATTGAATATGTTAAAGGGAATACGATACCGCACGTTGATGCCTTATCTAGATTGAGGTTTTATAGAGAGGAGAAGGACAAAAATGACAAGGAATTTGAAGACACATTCTTGCACCTTGTAGAAACCGATGTAATATCTGTAGATAAAATGGCTACTGAAACTACAAATGACCCAGTGTTAAATAGAATAATGTCGAGGATAAAACAGAATCGCTGGGGAAATTTTTCAATGGCTGAAAGACCATTCAAAGAAATTAGACATAGAATAACTATAGAAAACGCGATAATATGTAATGGAGACTTGGTAGTTCCCCCAGAAACACAGAGGAGACAGGTTATAAAAAGTGTACACAATAACGTACATTGTGGAGTGGCAGCTATGCAAAGAAGATTAAAATTTGAAGCGTGGTGGCCGGGGTACTCAAGAGACGTAGAAGACTACGTAAGAAGATGCAAAAAATGCACAGAACTCAGGAATTTTAAGCAAAAGAAAATACATGTATGGCCCCGAGAAGTAGAACCATGGAGCAGAGTACACATGGACCATGTCTATGTCAATGGGATAGGACTATTATTAATATTAGTAGATGCATATTCAGGTTG